GGGGGGGGGGGGGGGGGGGGGGGGGGTTGTGGGGGGGGGGGGGGGGGGGGGGGGTCGGAGAGGGAGGGAGAGAAGGAAGCAAGCAGGAGTTAGGTTTTTTTTTTAACACTTGAAGGAAGTTCTCGTTTTAATTTCGGCTTTCCTCACTTTGCTTCGCAGAACTTTATCTGCTTGAATTTCCCACTTTGTCCACGCAGGTGAAAGTACTGACAGGATTCAGGGAAGCGGTGCTTTTGAGGGGAACTGATCGGAGGAAACTGCCAACAAAAAAATAAAAAAGCCCAGGGAAGGACAAGGTGTAGTGGGAAGCAGTGAGAGCTACTTTTTGGAATGTTGTGGCTTTGGGTTTAATCGCCGTGAAGTGAGTAGCTGTTCCCTTCTTAATAAATCCAAATGTTTTTGATACTTGTTTCATTATGATCTAGAGGGGAAAAGGACTTAATTTAGGTCAGGAATTCGGAAATCCCAGGAAGGCCAGTGAGAGGCACGGTGGGACGAGGCTGGCTCCCCTTGTCAGTGTGTAGTTCTTGCTGCATCGCGAGATTTTTTTGTCATATGGAGCAAGGCCCTTGTTGTAGGCTGGACTGTACTTTCAATACCTGGCATCCTGCTAGCAACATACTGTAGTGTATAATTCAGCTTTGAGTGCTTACGTTGAAACAGGCTTGGTGAGGGGGAGTCAGAGGAAGTGGAGCCTGGGAGTTGTAGTTTGGGAATGAGGTTTTGCTGCATGTAGATTAGAATATCTGGACTCCATCTCCCAGTGTGCTTTGCACTCAGCCACACAGGAAAGGGAACGTTTACCAACCTATCAGGAATGGGAGGTGTGGTGAGTGATTAGAAGTCGAGCCAATCGCAGAAGCCGAACAAAAGCCAGGGCAGTGGGCTGAAAATAAAGAGGGGGGGAGTAGGTGTCTGCTTGTGTGGGATCAGGCTAGGGCTTGTCTGTATGACTAGGGCCACTCTGAAGTTTCCCCTTTCTGAAGGCTACGGCAGCGAGGCAGGGCCCTGTCCAGACACGGAGGCAGGCGGGCAGGCTGGGGGGGGGACTGACTGGACTGGGCCTGAGAAACAAAGACACACTTCTGCCCAGCTGGTAAGAGCAAACACAGCACACTCTCCACGCATTCTCCAGTCGCTCTCACTGCTGCCTTCTATGACAAGGGCTGAATTACAATAGTAACTAAATTGCTAAGGAGCAAAAATGCTCAGGGTCTCCTTTACTGGCCATTACTGGGGGGGACGGGTCTCAAAACTACTCGACCCACTTTTTAAATAAGGTAGAAGCAGAAAATTCTGTTGCCACGTATGTCCTTAGGGAATTTAAGAGAAGAAAGTTTTCGTGTAGATATAACTTTTCGCTGGCCAGGACAATGAAATGGTCTTTACGTGTGGTGATGGGTAATTATGGTAATGAATAATGACTAACGAACGTTTAAAGGGAACAGAATCG